CGCACAAAACTGACAAACAATAGTTCTCGTCGAGATACATCGAATGGCTTTTAAATTTTTGAAATCGACCCAGCCGTTTTCGAGAAAACGTCGATTTACGACAAAAAATCTGTTCACATACACACACACACACACACACACACACACACACACACACACACACACACACACACACATACTTTTTCCAAATTTGGTCTCATTCGATTCAGAATGGCTTGAAACGTCGAGAAAACATAAAATTAGCGAATCGGGTTTTTTGATGAAAACATAAACTTCTCCTTCGGGAAGTTAATAAGGTAGTTGTGTCTTTAAACGAAGTGTCTGTTGTTTTTTAAATAATTTATATAATAAAATTATTCCTGTTTAAGCTTGTTCAAGCTTCATAGAAGTGGATGAATTGGATACGTCCATATATACTGTACAGAAATTAAGGAATAGTTCTCTTGTCTAACTAGGAGAACTTCCTGATGCAGACACGATAAGTAATCATCATAGATGGTTCGAGATATAATCTAATACAAGAGAAGGAGAATTACTCAGCAAACCCATTAGTGAGAAGGCCAAGTAATTAGAATTGTAAAAATTTTGTAACCATATGCAAAATATTACTGATAGATACATCTTATATTCTTTTGCGATGGAGGCCTGAAAACTTGGAAATAGATTTTTGTAGTACCCCTAAGTTACCTATTGTGTCACCAGTTTCCCGCAAAGGTAATTTTTTATAATATTTGCAGCAATAATAATTAGTAAATCAAATATGATATTACAACATGTTTTCTGATCATTAAGGGTTCTTGGGGGTATCTGCAAGTTGTTACAAAGTATACAAACAAAGCGCAGGAGTGCTTTGACAGCCAAGGCATGTAAAACGTATGGCACATGAAAGATTTTATTCAAGGAGGTAAGAAGGATTAACAAACAATGCAATAATTTAAGGGATAAATTGCAACAGAGTATAAAATGTTCTAAAAAGTTTTCAAATATTCCGAAAACATTAAATATAAGAGCTAGAAATTTTATATTGTCTCAATTAAGAAAGCGTATTAAAAAGCCCAAAGAACGAAAATTCACAGATGAGGATAAAATTCTTGCTTTAAGTTTGTATCAAAAGTCTCCAAAGGTTTACTATTTTTGGAGACAAATATTTATTTTGCCATCTTCTCAAACATTGAAAAAGTTGCTTTCAGAGATACTTTTGAAAAGCAGTATTAATGAGTATCTTTTTAATACATTAGGTTCAGCTATTTCTCTTAAAAAGTAAGAAAGTAACAAATACTGTGTTTTGATGTATCTTCAGAATTGTCATATAATTAGAAAAGGTATCACATTGTTGTTTTTGTAGAGCTAGATATGGCAGAAAATGTTTATTGGCGGATCATGCACTTGTTTTCATGATGAAAGAAATAAAGTATCGTTGGAAGCAACTATTTGCTTTTTACTTTTCCGAAGGCGTGGTAAATAGTTCTGATTTAAAATTTGCAAGAAAGTTATTTAGTATCGGACTAAATGTTATTGCCACAGCTTGCGACCAATATGCAGCAAACTGCAAAGTGGCGAAGAAAATGCTTTTAAAAGATACAGAAGAGTATTATAAAGCAAATAACATTCATTGGAGAAAATATTATAATTAATATATAAAAAAGTAGATTTCATTAGCAAAATGATGCAGTAAGTTTGTGTGCTGAATCAATTAACCCCTTGCCCAGGAACAACGTGTGTGGCTTGTGACGATGTACAAGTGCCACACACGTTACCGATTGCAAGAATGTTGTGTGCATACATTACATAAGAACATATTTTATATTGCGGAATTTATATTTATTTCATTGCGTATTATGAAAGGTCGAAGTACTTCTTACATAGTTGCAAATATCCAGTTACACATTTTTAATTTGAACAAATATATATTAAAGAAATTATTAAATATTGAGCACTATCAAGTTGCCATTTATTAGGTCCGCGTAAGACCATTTACAGGTGATACTCCATTACGGCTACAGTCAAACAATTGGGCACATTTCCGACGCCACCGAAAACAATTTTGCATGCAGGAGATGAAGACATTCAATTGACTCCAAATAAAAATTTTAGAATTAATTCTTGCTATAGCATACTTGATACTGCTGCTTCAACATTGACTGCCCGTTTTGAAAATTCTTTCAAATTTCTTTATAAAAATAATGATATGGAACCTAACGTAATAAAACAAAATTGTTTCGATCTACAATACAAAATTGAAGATGGTGAATCCTGCGATGTCAGTAGCATCGAATTATTTGATGAATTAGTTTCTTCAAAAATGACCATAAAAAAACAGCCTCAAGAATAAATTAAATTTTTACATAAATACAACTTGGAAACGTCTTTCCCAAATACCGTCACAAGTATAAAACATTTACTGACATTTCCAGAATCTGTTGCATATGAAAAAAGAAGTTTTTTAAGATTAAAAATAATTTTAGAATATCCATAATTGCAATAGAAAATAAAATTGCTGATTATTTCAGTAGTCAGAAGGCGATAGAAAACTTTGCTTACAAAGAGTCGCGTCGAGTTGACTTTTAATTATATTATATTTAATTATATTTTGACAACCAAGGAATGCAATATGAAATGACAAGAAGGATTCATAAACAATGCAATAATTTAAGGAATAAGTCGTACAAAAAGTCTCCACAGGTCTACTATTTTTGGAGACAAATATTTATTTTGCCATGTCCTCAAACATTGAGAAAGTTGCATTCAGAGATACAAGTGTATAGTGGTATTCATGAGTGTTTATTTAAAACATTAGGTTCAGCTATTTCTTTTAAAAAGTATTAGTAGCAGATACTGTGTTTTGATGTTTGATGAAATACCATTATCTTCGGAATTATTATATGATTGGATTGAATCTCATATTGTTGAAGTTGCAAAACAGTTATTCAGCTAGTATGGTTTAAATGTTCATCAACGTAAGTTCATTGTTACATTTAATAAGATTATCTATTACATTAGCATATGTAAACACTTATAAAGTAAACTAGTATTGGTTTAAATGTTCATCAACGTAAGTTCATTGATATATTTAATAAGATTATCTATTACATTAGCAAATGTTAACACTTATAAAGAGAGTCTATACCATACATAATATTTTAATGTATTTTGATTGAAGATTAGTGTTATAATATTCTTCAAATAAAACTTGTGTAACATCCCAATATAATGTTTAAATTCAAGATATATTTGTTACCGACCTTGGGAATCAAAAATATTGCTTTTATCTTTTGATTCATAAGCAATTGTATGTGCATAAAACATTATTCTGTTCATTGTAAACACTTTGTTGATCTTTTATGGCAATTTCAATGATAATGTTTTCATGATGGAACATGGCTAAATGTAATGTTATAAAACACTCGTACAGAAACTATTCAAAGGTTTTGTTAAATGCAACTTTACTATTAATTCATTAGATAGCGCAATAACTATTACATGCAGAATTAATAAAGAACAATGTCTCGTAAATGAGTTTTAATCCTAGGAATTTGAATTTCTCTTAATTTTGATATCAATATATATATTTTATGTTTTTAGGACTTTTGTAGTATTTGTACTTTTTAACAAATTATTTGTTTTTTTCTTAACCCTTTAAATTTTTGTATTATTTGTCATTCCTTCTAAATTTGTAATTTCATTGCGTGCTCCTGTGCTTGTAGTTTCTTCTTAGTTTTTAAGATTTTAATATATTAATATTAGTCATTAAGTAATTAATATTAGTCAGTTATTTGTGCTTAGTTTAGTTAAATACTTCTGTGATTTTCTTCACTTAGATATTTAGTTTTTGAAATATTATTTAAGCATAATTGTGAAATTATAATACTTTTATAATTATGTATAATAATTATTATATTTTCAAACATTCCATAACTGTAATTATAATTGTTAATATAAACATAATTTTAATTGTTCTTTAAACATATGTAATATCTTTGAAAATATATATTTTGTATTTCGTATGATTTGTTCTTATTTCCAATATTAAAAATTATTCAGGTTTTTGGGGCTGTATACGATACGTACTAATTAAGAAGTAAAACCAGGGGTAATTTAAATATTATACATGTGCTGCCATCTATTTTTAAACATTTGTATTTCAATCGAGGTAACGTCAAACCGCCAGACATAGCGATCTATTATACTTGTTTATCTATGGCATAGCCTAGTTGTAAGAATCCTAGAGGCAAAAATTATTTTAAAGATTCCCATTAGTACGAGGGAGATTGAATAATTTTTGCCTACGGGGAAAGAGAAAAAGTAACAGAAATGCTGTGACGAACAAATTCGATTCAATCCCCCACCGAAAATCAGGGTGGATATTTTTGTATACAAGGCACAGCATTCCTGTTAAAAAGTCAGTCAGTTTTAGTTTTTCATTTGTAACGCATTTAATTAAAAGATACAGAAATTTTGACCTGGGTTCGCCGGCATTTCTGACACTAAATTAAATGCAGAAATAATTAATATTAAAGTAGTTCGCCGGCATCTCTGAAATTCGAACTAAACGTGAAAACTATTACTGGAAAAGTTGTAAAGTTTAGACAGGGCTCCGAACAACGTTCGCTGACCAAATACAGAAATTTTGTCCTGGCTTCGCCGGCATTTCTGATATTGGATTTGAACGTTACCGGTGGATTAATTAATAAAACAACTTAGTCCTGCTAAGCTGTTTTAGATAACTTAATCTAGCGTACGAGTTGTTCTTCGTAACAAGATAGGGAGTTGTGTTTTAATGTATAATTAGTGTAATAAGTGACTTTTATTAGTGTCTGTGCGAATCTAAAATATATAGATAATACATGTTTTATAACTTACAGTGGTTTTCTTTATTGCATAACTGGTGCGAAAGTGAGAATTTAATAAATTATAAAATCTAGTGTTATAAACTGGCGCCCAAACGAGCGGGCAGAGCTAAAAAAGACACTGTTATTGAAAAAGACATTAATCCGGACACAATGGAATTCTCAATTACTGAAGAAATGCTATCACGCGTTTCAAATTGTGCGACGGCTAGAAACGATCCGCCGGGTAGTTGCGATTACAAATTCGACGGATCTCGCGATGCACATAAGGCTCAGGAATTCGTAGAAAAAATTGTTATCTACAATAATTACGAACAAATCCCTGATGAAAGAGCCATCCGCGAGATGCCTTTGCTATTGACAGGTGAGGCAACAGTATGGTGGAAGGGTGTGGAATCGGAAATCCACACCTGGACGGACGTTATCACCAACCTGCAGGAATCATTCGCACCCATACGCCCGGACTACTTAATTTTTTCGGAATTATTCGAGCGTCAGAAGGAGAAAGAGAACGTAGACAAATTCATAGCGCATAAGCGAGCTTTGTTCGCGGAATTGTCAACGAAGACAGTGGAAAGGACGCAAATTGACATGATCTACGGCCTCTTAACCTTAAAATTAAGAAAATGCGTTGATCGAAGTAGCGTCAACACATTTAACGAACTACTGACAAGGTGTCGAACGGTGCAGCAGAATATACAGGAAGCCACATCGTTGCAAGAAACTATAAAGTGTTCGCACTGCAGAAAATTCGGACACGAAAAAGAAGACTGCAGAAAACTTGTGCAACAAATGCCTCAGAGAAAACCGCTAATTGAAAATCAGCTAATTTGCATGTGGCTGCGGAGAAAAGGGTTTTGTGCGAAGTAAGTGTCCAAGATGCAACTCGAAACCAAAAATTGAGGATTCACCGTTAGCTTTTTTCGCGTTGGGTGCAAAAACAGATGTTGCAATAAACAAATGTGTTTCTACAGTTTGTGCAAGATGCACAAACTGTAGAAACCACAAAAGAAAACGGCCGGAAAGCAATAAAACCGACATTTTGTGGATGCATCATCACGCGGACATAGGATTACCTAACGCAGGTATCTGTTCACGGCTTGTAATCCGAATGTCTATACAGGGATCCACTGGAGCAGGCTATATAGACACCGGAGCACGCAGAAGTTTGGCAGGCACGAGCCTGTACGCGGTTTTGAAGGAGACTGGTCATCGCTTCGAACCTGTAATTATGCAGGTAACGCTTGCAGACGGCGTTGCAAAACGCGAACAAGTGTTAATGACATGCACGATTGTACGTACGGGGAATAAGAAAAAGTAACAGAAATGCTGTGACGAACAAATTCGATTCAATCCCCCACCGAAAATCAGGATGGACATTTTTGTATAAAAGGCACGGCGTTCCTGTTAAAAAGTCAGTCAGTTTTAGTTTTTCATTTGTAACGCATTTAATTAAAAGATACAGAAATTTTGACCTGGGTTCGCCGGCATTTCTGATACTAAATTAAATGCAGAAATAATTAATATTAAAGTAGTTAGCTTTCCGTTTAGTAGTGAAATACAGAGATTTTGACCTGGGTTCGCCGGCATCTCTGAAATTCGAACTAAACGTGAAAACTATTACTGGAAAAGTTGTAAAGTTTAGACAGGGCTCCGAACAACGTTCGCTGACCAAATACAGAAATTTTGACCTGGGTTCGCCGGCATTTCTGATATTGGATTTGAACGTTACCGGTGGATTAATTAATAAAACAACTTAGTCCTGCTAAGCTGTTTTAGATAACTTCAACCGTACGAGTTGTTCTTCGTAACAAGATAGGGAGTTGTGTTTTAATGTATAATTAGTGTAATAAGTGACTTTTATTAGTGTCTGTGCGAATCCAAAATATAGAGATAATACATGTTTTATAACTTATAGAGGTTTTCTTTATTGCATAACTGGTGCGAAAGTGAGAATTTAATTAATTATAAAATCTAGTGTTATAATAGTTAAATTCATACATCCAGCGATTCTTTATTCCATTAATTTAATTGTCATTAATGAATAATAACCGAAAACGTTTTAATTTATATTTAAAGCTAAACTCTTATTAGGGCACAAGACGTTTGACAGTTTTTTTTTTCCTTTTAATTCCTTTTAAAACGATTAAGAAAACTGTAATTGACAAAATGTTTATAAATATAATAGCGTTTAATACAATCGCCAAGCGGTTTTCCTCCTGCTTTTCTTTTCAAAACTATGTTAAAGATACGTCATTTTTAACAACAACAAATTGACAGATAACGACTTCATGTTGTTTTCTATTTAGTTGGTACACGGTACACGTTTGTATGAAGGGCGTACAAACTGTGCAGTCGATGTCTATTTAACAATGGACTGTAGTAGTAATGCTCATTTTTCTATCTTGTAGCATAGCAGTAAGCAACAAGCAGCGACGAGAATCTTTATTCTGAGAATTTCGTTGATCAACTACAAACTATTGTATATTTTGATACTCTTTGGAAGCGAATACGCAATCAAGTGAGTAATGCACATTGTTTTTCTATATGTGAACCTCTTTGCTCTCTGCTATTTGCTATTTGTGGTCATTTATCATTTTGCATTCTTGTTACGTTTTACGTAAAAATTCTTAACCCACAATCCACAATCGTTTTACAACACAATATTTTTAACGTTTATCATCGCACATATTGCATATGTAGACGACTTGGCGGTTGTGATCAAAGGAAACTCAAGAGATAACCTGGAAAGAACTGTTAAATAATAAGACATGCTGTACTGCAATGCACTTCAATAAACGGCAAAATGCCACTTGATTTGGAGGTTATACAAATGTGGAAAAATACTGTTAAATATCCATGTCTTCGAGAACAAGCTCGACGTTTAGTTTCCTGGTTCGGAATCACCTACTGTTGCAAGACAACATTTTCTCTCATGTTAAAAAAAAAACAAATTTATGAAACATTTAGAGGATCAATTAAAGCTGTGTGTTACGAAGCTTATAGTGAACGGAGCGTTTTAAGTCTGGATTTTCTGGATTACTGTGCACCGAATTGAATTAAATTTTGGAATTAGGTTCATCTTACCCTCAAGTTCAAAAGTGAAAACAATTCGGGTTGCGCCATCACCCCCCGAGGGGATTACACTCCTTCTCAATTGTGTAATAATATTTTTTCAAAATAACGGAAACGGTAGAAGAACTAATTATAAGAAAAAAATGTCTTTTATAGTTTTTCAAAAAAACTAATACTTTTCAAGTTACTGGCCACTAAAGAAGATTCATATATTTTTGGCGTTTTTCTTCGCTTTTTAACGAAAATCATGTAATGGACAAAATAATGTCAATAAAAATCTTAATAAATCGGTATTACATAAAGTGTTCTAGGAAAAATATTAAGCAAGATTTGAAAGAGCAAATTCGTTCTTTATTTCGTTCAAGATTTAATTGTTGTATTTAAAGCCATCTAGTGTCGAGGTTTTACATTTTATGCATCTTGGTGAAATTGGGTTTTATAGTGCTCAATATGAGCTTTAAAATGGGTGCTGTTACAAGTTTTTTGCGTGTAAACTGAGTGAGCTATCATGCAAATAAGAAGCATATGCGAAGTTTTTTTCTTTTGAATCATATGGTTTAATGAGCGCCATTTCCACCAGAATTAAAGTAATTCACATTACATCTAGAATTCACTTCATCATAGACATCTTGATGGATTCTAGCAGATTCACTACTTTAGTACAAACTATGGAAGGTTTGGGCACCCCCTCATTTCTCCAAAACTTTCATAGATATTTTTTGTTTACTACCACAGCACTATACTTTATTCACTAGCAACACCGCTTATCTAAAGTGTCAGCTGTCATTTCACTTGGTTGTCAAGTTACATGCGCGTAACGGTTTGCTGCGTGCAGAAGTAAATATTTTATTTGTGATTTGATGTAACTTATCAAAGAAATCTGCAAGAACGTGTAAGTATCTGTGTTATCTTTTTCTTTTGTGTTTAATGAATATTATATTTGCCTGTAAATTAGGTTTCTACATTTGATAAAAATAATCTTATTCTAATCTATTTGAAAAGTGAGGTTATGGGGAGTATTGGGCACGCAGGTAGGAGGGAGGTTTGGGCATGCCCAATGCTCTCTCTGTTTTTAGTGTATTTTGGTGTCTTTTTGCAATGCCTATTGGATTGAGTGGTTAATCATTTCTTTTTAGGACAATGCCGTTTTCATTTAAAAAGAAAAATAAGCGACGTGAAAACCCTAAAGATATTATTATGCGCGCATTGGAAGAAGTTTCCAAAGGTGCTAAAATTAAAAGTACTGCGAATAAATATGACATACCAAGATCTAACCTTCAAAAGTATATCAAGCAGGGTGGTGTCGTAAAAGATAATTCTTGTAAATTTATATCGTCTCAAATATTCACAAAAGATGAAGAAGAGAAAATTTCGGAATATTTTGTAACATCTTTTAAACTAAACCATGGACTATCAAAACTGAAAACACGCGAATTGGTTTATGAATACGCCACTGCCATTAAAAAGAAAATACCAGATAACTGGACAGAGAAGAAACTTGCATCCAAAGACTGGATAAGGGGATTTTTCAAAAGGCAGCCTCAACTTTCGATAAGGACACCAGAGGCTACCAGTCTGTCACGGGCCACAAGCTTCAATAAGACAAATGTCGGAATTTTTTTTGAAAATCTTAAAACTGTGTATGAACGGCATCGCTTCGGCCCTGAGTCTATTTACAATATAGACGAAACTGGATTATCAACGGTGCAACGAACCCAGAAAGTGATTGCTCTCAGAGGCACTAAGCAAGTTGGGCAAGTAACGTCAGCTGAAAGAGGGACGCTTGTAACGGTTTGCTGCGGTATTAATGCATTGGGTAACTCAATACCACCATTTTACATATTCCCACGGGTTAATTTCAAAACATATATGCTAAATGATGCCCCTGTTGGTTCAGATGGAGCAGCACATCCTTCAGGGTGAATGACATCACCAAATTTTTTAAAATATATTCACCATTTCCCCAAACACGCAAAACCAACGCCTTCATCGCCAGTTCTTTTGCTGCTGGACAATCATGAGAGCCATATTTCAGTACCAGTTCTCGATTTTTGCAAACAATCAGGCATTGTTTTAATGACTTTCCCACCACACTGCAGCCATAAACTGCAACCTCTAGACCTGACTGTCTATGGACCACTGAAAACTTATTATAACACTGCTGTAACAGATTGGATGGTAAGCAATCCGGCCAAAACAGTAACAATTTATGAAATACCAAAATTAGCAGCAAAAGCCATTCCACTAGCATTCAAGTTGCAGAATATTCAAAGTGGATTTGAAAAATCTGGCATATGGCCATTGAATTCAAATATTTTCTCCGATGAAGATTTCGCTTGTTCTTTTATAACTGATCGCTGCTTGTCGGAAGAGGGTAATGTTCCTTCAGAACAATCTATTTCAGACCAACCTGTCACTGAACAGCCTTCAACAGGGAAAAATCAGAGTCTAGAGGATCGTACAAGTTCAAATGTGGAAGTCATTGGGCCATCTCAACTGGAATCTCCCTCTACAAGTCAAATTAGTGACACTGTCAATGTACCACCTGATGTAGTAAGACCGTATCCGAAGGCCGGCCCCAGAAAATTGCAGGATATGAAACGGAAGAAGGGAAAAACTAGAATATTGACGGACACACCCGAGAAAAGACTTATAGAAATGGAAGAAGAAGAAAGACAAAGAAAAAATAGGATCAAAGAGCTCAACAAAAATAGAAAATGCTTCAAAAATACAGGACAGAAAAAAATTCCGAAACCTGCTGATGAATTTACTTCCAAACTAGAGAAAAACAGGAA